AATTCTCTACAATCTCTCAAACCAACATGGAAGTTCAAAATAAGCAGGCCATAACAAATMTACAAATAACTTGTCACTAAATTTTCATTTAATCACTGAATAAAAAATTTCTCCTCCACCAAATTTGTCTTACTCTGCCAGATAAATCTTTCCCCTCATATATAATTGTGGCATTATAAAACATAATCCGGTATATTTGTGGCACTGAGAAAGTAAATAACTTCTCTAAGGAAGGAGCACCTTAATTGCGCTTCTGCTTTTCAACATGACAGAAAGCAGACTGTAGACAACCCTTCCAGCAGGTCTTTTGCCATGTCCTGCACCAGAAGAATTCACGGCCTGACTGTGGAAACAGGAACTGCAGTAACAGTGTTGTTACCAGTGCTTGGAGACACTTAAAGTCACAGAAAGGCAAATATGGCACAGAATTCTACAGTGAATATGAACAGCATCCATTTCTAATTCAATCCTCCTCCTTTAACATAGCAGGAAATTGTCTAGTGTATTTTATCCAGGTTCACTACCAAAATAGAATAATCCCATGTTACTATCCAYGGGACACCTTTATTGGTACTCCTGTCACTAACCTGCCTGGAGAACATAGAAGCACAATTGCTTTCACTGTTCTTCACCTTTCGAGCTATTTCTGAGATGGMTCCAGTAACCAGCAGCACCTCTGACAATGAAGAGACAAACTTAAATGCAATTCAAGAATTTTAGAACTCTCCACCCTTTTTGAGTGACWTCAACTACACAGAATCCATATAATTCTGGATTTTTGGAAGGGTATTAGAGCAGGAAGGGCACTACAAAGAAGTACTACTTAACTCTAAAAAAATGTAGCTACAAAACAAGCAATTAGAATTTTATCTAGGTCAATGCCCCATCAAAACAATTGACACTTCAGAAGCATAACTCYGCTGACCTAAACGCAATTTGACTACATTTGAAGGCTTTCATTGCCTGCAGAAGGTGAATTTGTTGCAGGAAGAGGACAAAATGAAGGTCTCTGAGTTAACTTCTGCAGTACTAGGGAATTCAAAATATTTGAGGTTAATAATATGGACAGTACGAACAGGCAGTATCTTATCCATTTCAATGATTAAATGATCCCAGTGAAGCTGTCAGCTAGCTGAACAGGAAAAAATAAAATGGGAAACTAATTTTTATAGTGTGGSATACAAATTTAAGTAGATTTTACATACTCATGAAAATTTGCTGTGTCAAAACTTTATTTGCAATTTCTTTATATTCCATGGGCTGACTAGAAGAAAGCAGCAAGCTAAACCTGCTCTTGAAGGTATACTGGGCATGGCTGTTATTGCAGAAAATTGTACGTGTACACACAGGAAAGTGTACCTATAAATTAGTGGTGGATTGTGAAAACTTCTTCCCAAGCATCCTTACAACCACTGGACAGGAGCACAGCTCCAAGACTCAAACAAACAGGCATGGCCCTGGGAAGTGAGATGTCTGGGGTAAGGAGAAAATGTGGCCACGAGGCAACTGAATTCTCACTGCCCATTMAACTCAAAGCTTTTATCACCAAGTGCAGTAAAAATGCATAAAAAACCCAAACCCACTAGTGATTGAGTAGAAGTGTAACTGTGCAATACAGACACAGAGAGTCAGGCGTACGAGTGTCACTGGATGGTTTGAAATTGTAAAAATTGTAGGCAAAGAATATTGCTGTGCTTCAGAGACAGAGGAATGTATGGAATACAAACCCAGATAGAAATCAACTATTCATTTCACTTGCCAGCTGGGAGCCTGTTTTCTGATGCATCCTGAAATGACTTTGAATATTACTGCTTGAATGMATGCTGCAGTTTATTGGATAAATGATTAGTTCAGGTCTCTGAATCCAAGCCTTCACACATTCTACAGCACTATGGATTCCATCCATAATCTGCAATGTCAGCTGCTCCCCTCTACTCCACTCACTGATATATCAGAAAGGGAATAAACAAGAGAGCTTCCAGTTATAAGCACCAGTTTTCTCATCACAAAAACCATCTCCTGTGATTGACTACCTTTATTACACAAGTGAGCAGAAGGGACAGTATAGSAGAAAAAAAGAAAGAGAAAAAAAATAAAGCAAGTACAACAAAAACACACTCCTTTGGCTATCTAGTAGCTAGAAATGTCAATGAGAGCACTCACTTTCTTAAAGAAGTCATGGACATTTTACATTTTCTGCTGGTAGAGTTGGCTAAACAAGGTAGCTATAGCCACTATGACAGAATTGCTTAGGAATCAGAGCGTAAGTGACTTACGTTTAGAAAAGCTTGCTTTTACTATTCCTATAAGAATAGAAAGATAACAGGCTTTCATGCCACATGTGGTGCCAATCAGAGTTTAAACTTTAAAGAAAAATTGGAAAAAAAAATTTAAATGTCTGCAAGTGAAAAAACTTTGGAGAAATAAAACCATAAGTCAATTAATTTTGGGCTGATTTTGAGCAAATGATTACCAATATTATATGTAAACCTTCACAAAATTATGTGYCATATCTACAGATGAACATTTGGCATTTCAGTCTCCTTCAGTTATGTCTGCGATAACTCCAACTGTTTTCCAGGTTCTTAACAATGAGATGTTAACATAGCTAAAAATAAATTCTGAAATAGCAGAATTAGCATGYCTGACACAGACAGGTTCCCAGAACTACTAGGCATACAGCTATATGCACTGTATGAAAAACATAAATGCTGTAGGCAAATCAGAAAACCTGTCCCAACAAACAAGAGAACACTACATCGTGGGTTTTTCTGGTTGGTTTTCCAATTTTATTAAAAATATCACTCATTTGTTCCTACATATCATATTTTACCTGGCAAGTTTTCACCAATATGACTGTTTATGCCACAAAATGCATGAAAACCATCAAGATGCTGATCAGCTCTACGCCTTTTGCTTAAAAGTATTGAAAGTATAAAGAAAGTAAAAATAATCATGGCAAGAAGTGATYTGCATTAGTAACAAAAGTTAGTACCAAACTATCCGAAGGAACAAAGCTAAACATAGAGGAAACGTGAGATAACAGAGAAACTGCAAACACGCAGCTCAAGAATCCAAACAAACAGAACTTTACATATTGAATCTGTCCAATACAGAGTGTCTCTGTAAGACCACTCCTTTTCCTGTGCCAGTGTGCTTCAAGAGAAGCATCGTGACTTGCAAGTGAACAACAAAGATTAGGTATTCTCACAAAATACATGGCCACAGTCCCCATCAGCCAGTTCTCAGATCTAACTGTTTTTTCCCTAAATACATGCCAAGGTTGCTTTTTGCTCCCCATTGGACCAAGGCCTTCTAGAAAACACAATTTCTAAGCAAGAATTAAAGCTTATACAAATCTGCACATTTTTCAAAAAAATGCATGAGTCAAGAAAACGCAAAAAGGTATTACATTAGGTCATTCTATAAGCTCTACATAAATGGYAAAAAAGAAAATTTATATACAACAGGTTGAACAGCACAAACTAAAAGAGCATTTAGAAACAATCTATGATACTCTTTCTATCTCTGAAGGAAGCAGTCTCCAGTTACTGRGCACTAAGGATTACCTGACTATGAAGAGGGAGAAAAAACAGAGTGTAATCTTCTTGACAAGGATCATAGCTTGAAGAAGAATCTTCCAACTTCAACAAGGACAATCAYCCAATTTAGGTTCAAAGTGTCACATAAAAAGCTGTCAATCATTATGAAATTTTTCCTTTGTTTAATCTCACTGCAACTTCCCATATCAATATCCTACTTAATTACATAACTTACAATGCAAGAAATTAAAGGGTAGTAAGTCTTGCAAGAGCTTCAGAAGACCATCCTATCATTCTTGCACAGTCTTTGCCTTCTCAGTCAGTTTTAAGTAACCACTCAGCTTATCAAAACAGGAAGAAAAGGATCACAGTGATTGCTTTAGGATTACAGAGGGAAAAAAAAAGCCTAACTTGAAAAGCCTCAAGAGAGTATAAACCACAAGACTATGCAGAATCATAGTGAGCACAGAGTCTGCATGGATATCTTTACCGAGTTTTAACCCTTATTCCAAATGGATCTTTCTGGGGACACGGAGATTGGCAAAAGGAGAAGAAAAAGCAGTTAGTTATAAATCCAACCACTTGGATTCATTATGTTGTCTACTGGTAATAGTACTTAGTAGTCTTTCAGGAAGAAAAAAAAACACAAAAAGAAACCAAAAAAGCCACCATACTAATAATAATGGCAATAATATATTCATATACACGCATACTTGAGAGCACATCTCTCATTTTCYTTCTTTCCCTCTCCAGTGAATTGCAGCTGGGTGTTTCATTACCGCCCTATCAAAGTCCCCTGCCGTACCTCTCACCTTGCCGAGGGCCAGGCTGGACTAAGGCCCTGGGTGGAGATCCCGCTGGTGCTGCCACGCTGGGCGCGAGTGGGCAGGGCAGGGCAGGGCCCGCACTCCCGTACGGCCCTCCCCGGGTCCTCCCCGCCCTCCGGCCCGCAGGCAGCACCGTCATTGATGCCGCTCGGGCCACGGAAGCAGTTTTTGTGTCCGCATGACACACCGCAAGCGCCGGCAAAGCRGCACCGCCGGCTCCAGCGAGCGATGGCTCGGGAGCCGCACGCCCCCTGAAGCCAACGCTCACGGGGGAGAAAGACAATAAAAGCTCCCCATCCAAGCATCTCCACCTATGGAGCCAGGGTGGGGGAAGGACAGTGAGGGTATTATGGCGAGGTACCTACGGTGAGGGGCGTATCTAAAGCAGCTGTGGACACTGTATCTCCAAAATGAAGCAAAGCCATGCAAGGGAGGAAAGCGGGAGGGTTAAGACGGCGCCTTGCCACCCATCAAACCCTCCCCCTCCTTGGGGCGCTAAACAAGGGAAGCTCCAGGCGCCCAAGAGGGCTCAGCAGACAGCCTGTGTGCGGCGGGGAAAGGATCGGGATGCTTTCCTCAGTCAATGTGCAGAGGGGAAGGGAGAGGGAACAGAACARGATGCTTTCCTCACCCAGCAGGAGGACGTTCTTCCCCGAAGGCAGCTTAGAGCGGGAGCGCGTGGACACCTCGCTGAGGATGCAGGACCTGGCGCGGAAAGACGACAGCGCTTAGGAAGGGTCTCCCGCTTCCTCCCGGTCCCCACCCTCGCCATCTCCTGGGGATGGGGGRGGCTATGGCATAAGGGGCGGGGGGCAGGGCAGGAGCTGCCACTGCCAAGGGGAGGTGCCCCCCCCAGCTCAGTGACTGCGMGGGGCTGAGCCCAGCGGGGGCGGGGGGATTATCCAGCCCCCTTCCCCTCGCCTCCCGCAGGGCACCGAGGCGCTCCGAGGGCGGCGGCGGCGGCCAGCGCGCCCGGGTCCGCGGGGCGGGGCGGGCGCTCACCAGAGGTTCTGCCCATCGTCCTCATCGCCGCCCGCCCGCAGCTCCGCGTTGTTGTTGTTGGCCGTGGCCGTAGAGGCGGCAGAGGAAGCAGAGGAAAACCCGGCAGCCGTGCCGAGCCCGGAAGACGAAGAAGAGCCGAAGGAGCCGGCTCTCCCCACCGCCGCCGCCATCTTCGCTGCTGCTGCCTCCTCCTCCCTCCCCTGCCCCGCCGCCTCCCCGGGACGCGGAGCGGGCGGCGGCGCCGCGGCGCCGGCGGGGACCCGGATGTTGGGGGGGCGGGGGCGGGGCCGGGGCGGAGGCACCGGGGCTGCGGCCGCTCCCCTCAGCTGCTCCGCTCAGCAGCTCCTCTCGGCCGCTCCTCTCGGCTGCTCCGCTCAGCTTCTCCCCTCTGCCGCTCCCCTCAGCCGCTCCGCTCAGCAGCTCCTCTCGGCCGCCCCCCTCAGCCGCCCCCCTCAGCCGCCCCGGCGGAGCAGCGAGCGGTTCTCGGCCCGGCTGCCTCTGGTGCCGCTGCCCTGTGCGAGGTGTTGCGGTGGGCAGGGGGATGCGCTGTGCTGTCAATCCCCGGGCAGCCCCAGCCCTGAAGGAAGCACCTCGCGTCCAAGAGAAGTAAGTGCGGCTCAGGAGCAAGATGTGCCTTTTGGGGAGGGCAGGATGGTCGCCCTCTCCAGGAGGCCTCTTGGGCTTCTCTCAAGAGTATCGCTTGAAAATTCGGAAAAGATGGGTTAAATTACCATCGTTTTAGCAGTTCGACTTGGCTAGAAGTTCCAGAAGAAGCAAGCCAGCGTGCCAWCCCTTGCTTTGTATGTTTCCTGGGGTAACAGATGAGTGGCTGTAAATTCTGTAAGAGGGTGAATTTTGTCCCTTYTGGGGAATTCAGGGTAAGCCTAGTGCAGGCTTGTGTACCTCTCTTTCAACAAAGGGTGCCCCTTTCCAGGGAGTCTGGATATATGGAAAGGTATTGTCTATATTAGTGACTTATGTGTGCCAGCAGTTTGTACTTTTATTCTTCTTGCTGCTGCATTAACCGTATTTTTCCCAGAAAGCACTGCTTTTTCMGTAGTATTTTGAAACAGAAAGAAGAATTATCCCTTTTTCTTAGCCACATGTTTCTCTCAAGGACTTTCTGCTGCTTTGTAAACCAAAATATAGACGTTTCTTTCACGTGTTGGTTTTAGTAGGGATCAGGTGTTGTAACGTGTATTTTGCTGCTCACGAAAGTGTATTTCGTTCAGGTTCTTCAGGTATAAAATAAGTGAAATGACAGCAGCCGTATGCTGAATTAGAGGTATCTGTGACAACAGRTGCATAATTATTGATCAGAAGTATTTTGTTGTGGGCAGAATATGGGTGCAGAGGACTGTCAAAGTTTTGGTGTTGATGCATTATCCRGTAAACAGGGACTACTGAAGAGAGGAATGGTGTTGAAAAGCTGAAAAGAAAAAACACTTTCTGCATGACCCTGCAAGGTCTCCTTATGGCCTGCTGTGAGTTGCCTTCGCCTGTTATCTGGTTTTCATCACTGTTGAGTCAACTGATTTGAATCATGAAAATGACAGAAAAATTGATTACTGAAATTCACTTCCAATTTAGTGAGCTGAATCACCTTGTGGAAGGTATTCGATGAGTGACAGAGCCAATACGGAGGGTGAGTAACAGAACTGACCAGAGAGTAAGGGGAGAAGAGAATTGAAGTTTGAATTTGGGAAGAGTGGGGTGGGAATGCCTTTTCAGTGACAAGCAGTTGAGTCAGCTCAGCTGCAGGACGAGTTGATATTCTAAGAGAAAGGGAAAAACACACAAAGAGCCCCAGCGGATTCTGGAATGTATTTCCTAACAGAAACAACTTCTTAGAGACTGAACTTCAGCCATCTACTTCAATCAAATATAATTTGGGTAATGGATTTGTATTTATCCTGATGTGTGGCTTTTAGATTTTTGTGAAACTTCACTAAAAAGGGAAAAATCACTCAAAATTGATGAATTAGCTTTAAGTCCCTCACTTGTAGAGGCACTGAAAGTAAAGAGTTTTAAACTACTTCATGTTGCTTGTTATTTTAAATTATGTTCTTTATAATATAGTTCATATGTGAACTATATTAAATTGAGATATGTAAATAATATAACCCTAGGACTTTTTTGAAACAAGAATGCAGATGACAGAAGTAATTTTTAAATATGCGAAAGTAGTAGAAAATAAAAGGCTACAAGGAGCAATGATAATAAAAGCTTGTTGCTTTGTGATGAGTTAGGAAACTACTGATATTGAGAAAAGATGGTACAGTTTTCCTGCTTTTTTACTTTTATACAGGCTGATGTTGCTATCTGGAAAAAAAAAATCTGGTGATTATAAAGTTACCAAGGATTATGCCCAGTGAAAGAGAGACCACCTCTTTTCTTTCTCCCCTCCTCCTTCCCCTGATATCCATTCTTTTTTTTTTAAGGTGGCTTTCACTGCATCATCCACTTGTCTTTGAGGATTTTTTTTTACCCCCTTTGAAGGGGTGTGTGTAGTTAAAATTCGCTGAGTATTCACTTAGCAGATTGTCACACATGAAGTTTTGATGATGGTTGTGTGGTGGTGGGTTTTTTACCTTTAGCAGAAGGGATCCCTCCCCCCTTCTGTTCTGCCCCCTCTCCATTTTATTTCTGTCTCGGGAGCTGCAGAGGAGAAAGTGAAAATGGAAATGCTTGGTCATCATACTCTCGGGTTAGGTTACAAAAAAYCAGGATGAAWGCAAAAATGTTGAGAGAATTAAGCYTTCTTCAACTGCAGTGTGCTGATAGAGTATCTCAATTAAATTATTCATAGAGTTAGCTGTACAGCATGATAGGAAAAGAAAAATTAGGAAAAGAAACACTTCATGTGTGTTGTCTSAAGCAACCTTAGAAAAGGGGAGGGGGGGGAAGGAATCAGTAGTACATTCTTTTATTTCCTACCCTGTGACATAAGTTTGTCTGCCAAAATGATCTCATGAATGTATAGATCAATCTTTCCATGTAATATTTTCCAAAATGTAGCTGTGAACAGGAATGGATGTTAATGATGCCTAGCAAAGGTAAAAGCATTATTTCTTCCTGCCTCACCCAAGTGTAGCTATTTATCCTGGCTTATTAAATATAAGGTTTTCTCTACTACCGAATTGTAAGTTTTGAAGTTAAGGTTTTGCTTTGATACTATGTTATACTCAGTGGCTGTTACACTTGCAGAGATAGGTATGACTATACAGCACAAAGCTAATGAAGAAACAGGTCCATCAACTATGACTAGAAGTAACATTTTTTCAGCTGATGATTGTTACAACAGTTTTAACTGGAAACAGCACTGCCAGCTGCTTAACTACACACATATACAAGGGTAGACTGCAGCAGCGCCTCACTGGTAAAACAATGTAATTTCCTAACGCAGGAGAGGTCTCCATCCCTCTGAGAGCTGCCCTGGGGTGACGCCAAAGTACAGACCCTGGGAGGGAGTCAGCTGTGCTGTGCTGAGCAAGGAGGCACCAGCAGGGAAAGACACCTCCTGTGCGCAGCTGGTTGGTGATCCCAGGAGTTTCTCTCACATTCTGTGTCTTTTCACTTTCTGATGTGTTYTGACTATTCTGTGCTTGTTCTTAACAGGGGGATCCTTGTTGCCTGTCTCTCTTCATATAACAACTTTTGTCTGAGTTAGCAGTGTATGAAATTCAAAACGTAATGGTCCAGCTTCTCTGACTGCATCTATTGTCAGTGACCAACTACTATAAAATTGGTTGCAAATTTAGAAGACAGTTTTTTCATAAGCCTATGGAAATGAATTGTTGTCGTTCAATTGCATTTAAAAGAACCAGTTTGGGTTCTTAGAGAGATTTTTGCCTTTAAGGCAAAACTGACTTCCTAGCAATTTTGACCTTGTTGTTGAAATCAAATTTGTAAAGGTCACCATGTTCAATACATAATTCTACTTTGCTGTACAGAAAGCAGCCGTTTGAAAAGATAGCAAAAAAGAAGCAGAATACGTAAGATTTCAAAAAAAAAGATGTTTTGTTGCCTTTGGCTGTAGTGTATTAAAAATATAAAACTAAACCTTTAAAAGTGAAAGATAGGATGATCTGTTGTTATTTGCTGATTGGAATTTATGTGCAGTTAATATTCAGAAAGCATTAATGAAGTTGGTAATGATTTTGTAAAGTGGCTTTTTTGTAGTGTTAACAGCCAGTCATCTAAAAATTAATCTTGTTTACAACATTCATGTTATTTGTCAAGAAGTGAAAAGATACCATGTGACTTACCAGAATAGTTGCAATAGCAAAATTTGTAAATTACTTCAGCACAGAATTAATATTTCAATCAGTATGCTGAAATTTGTTAATATAAACTGTATAGATAATACTCTAAGAATAAAAAATATGTCTCAGGAGTTTTACTGGGATTAATCCATGAGAAATACATAAAACTAGTCATAGTCTAGTATCACATTTCTGTTTTTCATTTGACCAAATATAAATCTTGTTATTCATCCAGTTATAGTTTGTGCTGGTTGGTAATATAAGAGCTGCAGACCRTGCAGCAATATACCACCCACTTCTAAATTTATTTTCTACATACTGCCCTGTAAATTTTTAAGAATGTGCAGGGCTAACTAACTATGAAACAGTGTGTTATGGTCTGCTGCAAAGGAGACAAAAATTGTTTTATTTCACATAGACAATGTTTTATTTCTTTAATCTAAGTTTGTTACCAGAGCATCTTAAACATATGTCTGTGTATTCATAAATTATTTGGAACCAGTGGGATTTAAAATGTATTTTACATGTCTCATTGATGATTAAAAGTATGTCCTTACTATCTTTATAGAAGATAACTATGGAGGGTCTGATCAGCCAAGATCTGAGTACCCTTGTTTTCCATTGGGAGACCAGGTATATTCCATCTCAAGGCACATTCTGCTCTTTCACGGACGCATGGTATAAGTACAGTTATTACATTGGTTTGTGCAGGATATTTTTTTCTAAGAGAGAAATATCTCAGGTTGTTTGGTTTGCTTTCTTTGGTTATTTGTTTTGGTTCTTTCATACAATACTCTTAATTCAGAAAAAAAGTATATATGAATGAATAAATTTTTAGATTATTGTAGASACAGTAAGTAGCAGGCAGTTCCTTGTGTTTTATTTACAAATCTGCTTTTTWAATCAGTTCTTTACCTCAGGGACCTGCACAACTGCTTCTCAAGTAGCTGGTTTGCTTTATAATGGCTTTTTGGTTGCCAGATGGTATGGCTGCTTGGATA